TGCATTGTACGTAATTCAGCCTCTAAGCAGCATTTAGACTCTGTTGACCACTGAGGCATTTAGAAAGAGGAATTAGTTGGGGTGTTATGGCTTTTTTTTTTTTTTTACTCCACTGGTAATGAGGCTAAACACAAGAAAATAATAACCCCTGAAGGGAGCTGAAGGCTCGCCTCTGTTTCCTCACCCTCAAGTCTATTTCTGTATTGTCAGTTTCAACCACATAGGCCATGCTACTGGACCACAGTGCTGGTTATCAGGGTCATCCCTCTCTTGAAAATCATGTCTTTTGGGCTGGGCGCGGTGGCTCACATCTGGAATCCCAGCACTTTGGGAGATCGAGGCAGACAGATCACCTGAGGTCAGGAGTCCTGTCCAAAATGGTGAAATGCCATCTCTACTAAAAATACAAAAATTAGCCAGGCATGGTGCTGTAATCCCAGCTACTCAGGATGCTGAAGCAGGAGAATCACTTGAACCCGGGAGGCAGAGGCTGCAGTGAGCCAAGGTCAAACCACTGCACTCCAGCCTGGGCAACAGAGCAAGACTGTCTAAAAAAAAAAAGAAAGAAAGAAAGAAAGAAAATATGTCTTTTGGGCAAGATTATTAATATTTATTATCTCTAGAATCAGAGAGACCTGGACTCAAGTTCTAGCTCCACCACCCATGAATTGCATGTCTTTAAGCAATTTTCTTAACATCTCTGTCTCTCAATTTTCTCATTTGTAAGATAACAGTATTTATATTTACTTCACTGAGTGTGAAGATTAACTGATAATATACGTAAAGCATTTAGCACAAAATAAATGAGGGTGCATCCATACAATGGAACACTATTGCAGTCTTATAAACAATAGAATAAAAGCATGCTTACTGGCATTTCCAACATAAAAAGATATTCACAATGTATTAAGTGAATTGGCAGTATACAAAACACTCAATTTTTGTAACTGGATGAAGAAAAGTAGTATAGAAAGTCACCAATGATTATTTACTGCTGGTGAGCTTATAGGCATTCTTTTATTGTTTTAGGTTACTTGCACTTTCTTTTTTTTTTTCTATAATGAGCATACATTACTTACATAAAAATAAAAGAGTTTCAACTGCAAGAAAGTACAGTGCATGGTAAGTGTCCAATAACTAGCTGCTGTTATGATGTTACTTTCTTGGAGTCTGCAGAAAAAAAGAGCCAGAAGCTGCCTGCCCTAAGAAGGCCTAAACTGGCTCTCCACCATTGGGGAGAGAAGATACTGGTACCTTAGATTTGGGTGGATAATTCTTTGCCTACATTGGCTGTCAGCCCTCACTCATTTTAGCTCAGGCGAAAAGAGCTCTGTACTTTGTCCCGTCCTGGTCATCAGGAATCTGAATTAGGACTAGAGCATCAAAGCCTTAAGGTAATAAAGCAAAGCATTTGAACAACCTTGTCCTCTGACCATTAACTTTGCTTGAGGACCTCAGCAGAAGTGGAAGGCCCAGGACAGGGTCAGGTGTTGGGATCCCATGTTCCTCCTGTTTGTCCTCTTTATCTCATTCTCACACACCCCTATGATATCCTTCAATACAACTTCAGAAAGAAGCCTCTGAATGCACCACCAAAATATAAACCCGGCGTCACTATTAGAAACAGGAAAAGAAGACAACTCTCGTTTGAGATCAGAAGTGAAAGAAATGATAAAAAGTAAAACTCAGTTCTGCAACAAGATTATCTTGAGGTGCTGGCATCACAGCCAAGTGAAAATGTGCTGCTAGAACTTGGAATACGTTACTCTAAGGCATTTAATGACTTACAGGAAATCAAGCCCAGGAGAAGGGACAGAAATAAGAACAGAGAGGGAAAAAGGTAGGGAAGGAAAGAGAAGCAGCACAGGAAAGACTGGTGAGTTGCAGCTGCGCGTTAGCCTCTGAATCAGTTAATGGCAGTCCTGCAGTATTTGCATTCTGGGGCAGAAGAATCAAGAAGACAAGGGAAAATGTCACAGTGGGCAAGCACTGCTGTGCCAGCAAGGTAGTCACTTTGTCATTTGGCTGTTTACAGCACCAACTCAAGAAAAACAGGCTTACCTTTCACTGACAACAGGGTAAAAATAAGGTCACCCTAGAAAAAAATAAATAAATGGATATAATTCCTGGAAATATGTATATTAACCTAGGTCCTCTGAGGAAGTAACATATGTAAGCATCTAGCCCAATGTCTGGGCTAGGCGCCCAGTGGTTTAGTGGGGTAAGACTGTGCGTGTGCACACGTACATAGACAAATCTTTACATGCAAACCCGGTGCAGAAAACAGGGTAGCAGCCAGATACAGTGGCTCATGCTTGTAATCCCAGCACTTTGGGAGGCCCAGGCAGGCAGATCACCTGACATCAGGAGTTCAAGACCAGGCTGGCCAACATAGTAAAACTTCATCTCTACTAAAAATACAAAAATTAGCCAGGCATGGTGGCACACACCTGTAGTCCCAGCTACTCGGGAGGCTGAGGTAGGAGAATCCACTTCAACCCAGAGGGTGGAGGTTGCAGTGAGCTGAGATTGTGCCACTGTACTCCAGGCTGGACGACAGAGGCAGACTCTGTCTCAAAAAAAAAAAAAAAAAAGAAAAAGAAAAGAAAAGACAAAGTAGTAACATCAAAAAACTGGAGAAGGCTTAAATGTCCATCGAGAAAAGATATTATATAATTATTGCATAAATAATTAGGCAGAGATTGAAAGAGTAAGCTAGACATGGTCATATAGAACACAGAACGGTCTTCAAAAACCTATAAAATGGAAGGGAACGTTGGAAAGCAATATTACACCGAAATCTGAATTATATACATTCTAACTATACATGCGTGTGAATGCAAATGCAAAGAAAAACGACTAGAAGGACACATAGCAAATTTTAGCCATGGTTGCTTTTGGCAAGAAGGACAAGTAAAGTAAGAAGGGCTGAGGGAGGCTCCCTGCTTCCACTCTGTATATGGCCTTCAGCATTGCTTCTTTTATTTTTTTACAAATATAAAATTTTCATCCAATAAGAGATGAAGAAACACAACTTGAGTATTTTATTCCCTGCTTGTCTTTCCAAAGAATTTTAAAAGGTACAGAACTTACAAAACTTTCAAAAATAATTTTTTTCTACAATGAAAAAGAAAAAAGACACAGTAAAAGACGAGAGACATGCTCATCAGAGCTCCTCTTAATGCCATCCCTAAAGACACCATCTATTAAAAGTCCCAAAAATATCTGTAAATCATTCTTTGTTATGTGACTTGGTGAGGGGTGGGGTACCAAGAAATAGGATAGCTTCCTGACTAAACACTTTATTTATTTTTTTTTGAGACGGAGTTTCGCTCTAGTTGCCAAGGCTGGAGTGCAATGGCACAATCTCGGCTCACCACAACCTCCGCCTCCCAGGTTCAAGCAATTCTTCTGCCGCAGCCTCCGGAGTAGCTGGGATTACAGGCATGCACCACCAAGCCCGGCTAATTTTTCTTTTTTTTTTTAGTAGAGATGGGGTTTCTCCATGTTGTTCAGGCTGACCTCAGGTGATCCACCTGCCTCGGCCTCCCAAAGTGCTGGGATTATAGGCGTGAGCCACCGCACCCAGCCTACTAAACACTTTTTATCTCAAAACATAAAGTGATAATATGAATTCTCTCCCTAGTAATGTCAATATTGTCATTCTTCTTCTAAATATGTGGCTTTCAACTGACGGGGGGGTGGGGTGGCAATCTTGTCCCCCAGGGAACATTTGGCAATGTCTGGAGACATTTTTGGTTGTCACAACTGGGGACCAAGAGAAGGACACTCCTGCCATCTCAAGGGTAGAGGACAGGGCTGCTGATAAACACTCCACAGGACAGCCCCCACAGCAAAGAACTCTTCAGTCCAAAGGGTTAATACTGCCAGGATTGGGAAACCTTGTTCCAAGACTAAAACTTTAATACTATTTTAAATATTCAAAAAATAATTTTCATAAGTAACAAATGATACATTAATATTATTCTTTTATAAGTGGAATTACGTAAAGAGTATGGTTTTAAATAATTAAAATATAGGCTGTATAGTCCTACAAATTCAAATTAGAATCCTGGTTACCAACTCTGTCACTTTGAGCAAGTTATTTGAACTTTCCACCTCCATTTCCTCATCTGAAAAACTGTAACTAAAGGATATAAGTTTTAAGACTGTTATGATCTTGGCTGGGTGCGGTGGCTCACGCCTGTAATCCCAGCACTTTGGGACGCCGAAGTGGGTGGATCAACTGAGGTCAGGAGTTCAAGACCAGCCTGGCCAATAAGGTGAAACCCCATCTCTACTAAAAATACAAAAAGTAGCTGGGCATAGTGGCACACGCCTATAATCCCAGCTACTCAGGAGGCTGAGGCAAGAGAATTGCTTGAACCCTGGAGGTGGAAGTTGCAGTGAGCTGAGATCACACCACTGCACTCTGGCCTGGGCAACAGAGCAAGACTCTGTCTCAAAAAAACAGAAAAAAAAAAAAACCAAAAAAACTGTTATGATCTTAAGTTAATTAATCAATTAAATCTCAACACCTGCCCACTACCTATTTGACACATAACAGAAAGACAGTAAGTATTAGTTCCTGTCTTCCCATTATTCTTCCTCCTGCTACCGTCTATCCCACCTAGGCCAAATTTTATTCATGGTCTCATCACAGTGACTTAGGTTGATACAATGATTCATAAATTTCAGAAGTAATATGATATTAACATGTTAAATAGTATCATGGTAAAAAATAAGTGCAAGTATAGGGATTAAATGTTTATTTGAAAAATCTTAGTCATAATTTCTTCCTCATTCTAAGATTTAAAAAACTATTATATATAATCCTTTCATCTGAATTACATCTATTCTCTCAAAAAGCCACACCCACAAGTGTGATCAAGGTGAACAGAGTTATACAATGAGAGGGAGAGCAAAGGCAAAATTCACTGAGGTAGACCCCAATTCCCTGAGACCACTCAACATAGGCATTCTGTAACACAGGGACCTACTTTGGTGGTGATCCTATAGGTGATGTAGGTCTCCATCGTACACACATGCTTCTTGGGATCATCGACTATAACGAAGAGATCTCTAGTCTCACCATCAATGTCATCATCAAGCTGAAGTCTGTTGAGAAGGGAAGATGAAGAAGCGGGACTTGAAGTACCCGCTGGAGTACCACCGTTGGGCAAAATGAGATCCTAAAAGAAGAAAAGAGTACCTTAAAATTAAATGAAAACACATACAGGAGAATATCAGCAAAAGCAGCTGGTTTAGCCAAACCAATAAACACTTCTAAAATCCAAAAATAACTTTTGAAACACCTGACCCTCTCCTTATTCAGTGGTTTCTTGAGTGAACGAATCTTTTACAACCAAGAGAAACAAACTATGGTAGTGCTTTGAATCAATTTCATGCCAATTCATCTTTTAGGAGGTGCTGGAGAAACCAACATGAGCAAGTAGTTCAAGGGCAGAGAACATAATAGCCCCACCATCATCAAACCTCAACAAGGAAAGATCCCTATGAGTATACTCTGTTTTTCCCACTTTCTCAAGACCACCACGTGGACCCAGGTAAACATTAAGAAACCCGGCTGGGTGCAGTGCCTCACACCTGTAATTCCAGCACTTTGGGAAGGCCGAGGCAGGTGGATCACTTGAGGTCAGGGTTCAAGACCAGCCTGGCCAACATGGTGAAATCCTATCTCTACTAAAAAAAAAAAAAAAAAATACAAACCCCATCTCTACTAAAAATACAAAAAATTAGCCAGGCATAGTGGCGGGCGCCTGTAGTCCCAGTTACTCGGGAGGCTGAGGTAGGAGAATGGCATGAACCAGGGAGGTGGAGCTTGCAGTGAGCCGAGATCGCACCACCGCACTCCAGTCTGGATGACAGGGCAAGACTCCGTCTCAAAAAATAAAAAAATAAAAAAATACAAATATTAGCTAGGCATGGTGGCGTGAGCCTGTAATTCCAGCTACTCGGGGGGCTGAAGCAGGAGAATTGCTAGAACCTGGGAGTCAGAGGTTGCAGTGAGCTGGGATCATGCCACCGCACTCCAGCCTGGGCAACAGAGCAAGACTCCATCTCAAAAAAAAAAAAAAAAAAAAAAAGAAAAGAGAGAGCAAGCACCTATAGATGTAAAGAAACTTAAGAGATCAACCAATTCCATTAAAACAAGATACAAAAAGATAAAGATTTTGCGATATTTAGGGAAATCTGAATATCGATATTAAGGAATCACTGGGTATGTTAATGGAAGTATGATTTTACAAAATCTTCATCTTTTAAAATTATATACTAAAATATTTATGAATAAAATAAAATGGCATTTGCTTCAAAATAATTAAGGATGAGTAGGTGGGGATATAAATGATACAAGATGCCCAAGTTGATCACCGTTGAAGCTGGTACTTCCAAGTTCATTATACAATTCTCCTCCCTTTTCTATATGCTTAAAATTTTCCACAATGTTTTTAAAAGAGAGTAGTGGGTAGGAGGGTGGTCAGTGGGGCAAACGCCAGGAAAGGAAGGGAAGGATAGGTTTTTAAAATTACAGACCTCACTCTTTAGGTCTTAGGAGGAAGCCAATTAATAAATTATGTCCCTACAATATTAAAAAAAAATGGCTGTGAAACTGACAAGGCCTAGTTAGTTATCTTGTTTAGTTTGAAGGTTTGGTAACAGAACAGAGCCCTGCCTAGCAGCAGACGTCAAGGGCTCTGAATGTCACCTTGGAATAAGTGGGAGACAGAGACTAAAGAATATGGCAAGAAAGTGACATGACATCTTGGGAAGAGCCTTGGTGACCTGTGGGCCATCAGATCACAGGGTGAGGAGCAGAGGGTGCTTTCCTCATATTCTCTCCTCTTGGAGCTCTGTAGGTGAGTTATGACCTAGCCACCATGTAAGAGAACGTACAGGAAATTAGAGGTTAACCTAGCAGTCACATCCATGAGCTCTAGCTGATGATGGGACATCTGGGAAGAGCAATGGGACACGGCAGAGGGAAGAAGCATGGCCTGTAGTCAAGGGCGATGTCACCCAACTTGGGGGGTAATGGAAAGTACACAGAAAAGGCACCTTCAACTCCCATTTCCACTGACCACAGATCATTTAATCACATACTTATGTAATATCAAAAAAACTGTAATTACTAAAAGGGTACCATTTTCACAGAAGATACTCATGGCAATAGACCTACCCCCTCCACTTCTCTACTGCTATGCTTCTGACTACAGGGCAGATGGACAAGCCCATCAGCTGGGACATCACACCTTCAGCAGCCCCTCTCAGTGTGGACATGACTGCAGAGCCCAACTACAGCAGCAGCCACTGATGGGACTGCTTTTGCAACGTACTGGTACCACAGGACACAGGGTGTCCACACCCCAGTGTCTGGGGATTTGTACGGGGACAACGTCTTCTCTGGAACTCCAGGATAAACATCATGTCTTGGTCATTTCAGTTAACATTTAAACACTGACCTCAGGCAGGATGCCACGCTAGGCCTCACAGGGGCCCTCCTTTACATTTTATCAACACTAGCACACCAGGCCTCAGAACAGCTCTGTCAGTGGATAGACACTGCACAAAAGAAAAGAATCCGTGGCTGGGTGCAGTGGCTCACGCCTGTAATCCCAGCACTTTGGGAGGCCGAGGTTGGGAGATAGAGACCATCCTGGCTAATTCGGTGAAACCCCATCTCTACTAAAAATACAAAAAATTAGCCGGGCGAGGTGGCAGGTGCCTGTAGTCCCAACTACTCGGGAGGCTGAGGCAGGAGAATGGTGTGAACCCGGGAGGCGGAGCTTGCAGTGAGCCGAGATTGCGCCACTGCACTCCAGCCTGCGCGACAGAGCGAGACTCCGTCTCAAAAAAAAAAAAAAAAAAAAAAAAAAAAGAAAAGAATTCACAGTCTTAAGGCAGAGATGCCAAAATCAGCTCAGACAGTGGTTTCCCACAATCCGGCCTGGCCTGATCTCAGCAGCCTCCTTTCTTACCACCGCCTTCCACATCCAAGGGACCAGTTCCCAGGAATCACCCAGCGGTTTCATGCCCCTTATCTTTGCTAGAAAAGTCCCCCATCTGTTGCACATAGCATCTCCAAATATCTTCCAGGAATCTGCTTGAATCCCCTCTCCTTTAACACTTTCCTTGACCCACTCCCTGGCAGAATTACTCACACCCTTCTCAATACTTTGAAGACAACTCCACTGAAGCATTTTGTAGTTTTAATCATTGATTTCTATATCAGACTTATCCACAAACACTGTGAGTCCCCAGTGACTGCAACTGTGCCTTGCTCATCATGTGTGTGCGTGCGTGTGTGTGTGACTGTATTGTGAGGGTGTGTGTGATTATCTGTCTCCCCAAGTTGGGTAGTGACTTCAAGCCAACTCCCCTAACATTTGTCCTGGGAACCTCAGCCAATAACCTTCCAGGAACAGCCCACATAAAGATCTGAAATGTCTTGGCCAGAGAGCATGAAGTTAGTTCTCGAACCAGTTGTTGGGGGTGAAGAAGGGGAGAGTCAATCAATCAGATCTTGTCACATACTCCAGATTCTTCCCTCCTAGGACTAGGCAACCATGGGAAACCCCCCCAGTCCTCATCCCAGGGTGTTTCTTGGAATGTTACTTGAGACATGAGAATAGCAGACAGGCTACCGGGGTCTGTTATCTCCTAAGCAGTGACACTGCCACCTTAGATGGAGATGGCACAGCCATACACAGTGCTTACTTCACCATACCCCATGACAGCCTCGTGAGGTTAGCAATACAGGTATCATCTCTGTTGACATGGAAGCAGACTCAAAAGAGTTAAGTAACTCGCCCAGATGTACAGACACTAGCATCTGCTGTGCCAAAGGTTGAACCCAGGTGTCTGGTTCTTAGGCCAGGGTTTCTTCCCATGCTGAATGTCTTTTGTGTGTCTTTTTCCATCCCTAAGCTGTCTCTCATGCCTATTCTCTGGCCATAAATCCTTTAAGTAAATATGAAGCTTCTAGGGTTTTTGTTGTTGTTGTTTCAAGGCAGAGTCTTGCTCTGTTGCCCAGGCTAGAGTGCAGTGGTGCGATCTTGGCTCAGCGCAACCTCTGCTTTCTGGGTTCAAGCGATTCTCCTGCCTCAGCCTCCCAAGTAGCTGGGACTATAGGCGCATACTACCACACCCGGCTAATTTTTGTATTTTTAGTAGAGACAGGGTTTCACCATATTGGCCAGGCTGGTCTTGAACTTCTGACCTCATGATACACCTGTGTTGGCCTTCCAAAGAGCTGGGATTATAGGCATGAGCCACCGTGCTGGGCCGAAGCTTCTGTTTTTAAAGCCAGTCAGGGAAAGTTAACTTTTTTTTCCTTAGGGTCTTAATATAAGCTTATCCCAAAATGACTCCCTTCAAGATAGGGTCCCCATGAGCAATGAATGTGGAGGGAAAGCATGTGCATCTCACGAGGCCCGGGCAGAGGGTGAGGCGAACTGAATGACACAGGCTGCTTCTCCATCAGCATCCTCCCGCAGTGCGGTTTGCGACACAGAGATTTGAGCTCAAGAGCAGGTATCGGGTGATGGCAGCACCTTTACGACCAACTTTTATCACCATTATGACCAACAGTTCCCTCCAGGAGAGGGAATTCCTTGGCTCAACACAAAAGCCTCCTGCTTTGTTTTTGCCACCCCATAGTCTGTTCTCCATGCTGCAGCCAGAGTTCTCCTTTAAAAATTTAAATCAGGCCAAGCGCGGTGGCTCATGCCTGTTATCCCAGCACTTTGGGGGAATGAGGCAGTGGGAGGATCGCTTGAGCCCAGGAGTTCGAGACCAGCCTGGGAAACATGAAGAGACCCTGTCTCTACAAAAATTTTAAAAATTAGTCAGGCATGGTGGTACTCGCTGGTGGTCCCGGATACTTGGGAGGCTGAGGCGGAAGGATCTCTTGAGCCCGGGAGACCGAGGCTGCAATGAGCTGTGACCGTGCCACTATACTCCCGCTTGGGCAACACAACAAGACTCTGTCTCTAAAAAAAATAATCATCATAAATCAAAACACATCACTCCCCTACTCAAAAGTCCCAAAGATATCCCCTGACATTCGGAAGAAAATCGAAACTCCCTCCCATAACCTGCAAGAGCCAAAATGACCTGGCCCTTACCCTGTTCTCTGACCTCACCACCAACACTCTTCCCAGCTCTAGAAACA